AGCAGAGTTCCAAGTGCACAAGCCAAGGCTCAGAACCACCAGCCAAACTGCATAAGCGCTACATCCAGGATTTCCTTACCTTTGTGTGTTCTGGGGGAGAGTCAGGCTTCTGTCATATAAAAACATTTGATGGTAGATGCAAGGCCCTTCCCTTTTCTACTTCCTTCTCTCTCTCTCTCTCTCTCTCTCTCTCTCTCTCTCTCTCACACACACACACACACACACACACACACACACACACACACACGTCGATGTTTCTTCAATGCCTCTGCCTCCAGGTCATTAGACAAAAGCCAATGTTTATAAAAACTGTATGACATTTCAATGCACTGTTGTCAGAGGCTGTACATGACACCTAACTTTGTATTGTTAGAGCTTGATTAACTAGACTGCAAAACCCAATTTGAATCTTATAGAGTGAGGGAGGGCAGATTATTTCTCCAGGGGGATCCAGAAAACACAAGACTCTTTTAGCCATTCCCAGCTTTCCCCTTCAGTAGTTCGGGCCATAAGCTTTCTGTTCAGCCATCTACACAATGGAACAGTAATGTCTACCACCGGCAGATCTGTCAGGGTAGACGTAGCAGAGAAGGGAATCCACTGTTTAAGAGAACAGACTTCCCCTCAAGCTGAATTACGGCTCAATACTAGCTATATGACCTTGGTATGAATGTAAGATACTTGCGAAATGTATGACACAAAATAACTTTTAAATAATCAGCCCCTGTCATTTCTCCTTCGAAAATTATAATTACCCCACTAGCGTTCATCTCTATTATCGGAGGATGTACATAAAATAATACATCCAATAGTAGAACTCTCATCAAATGGCTTGAGAGGGTCACGTATCATATCCTGTCTTATCGCCAAAGCCAGTCTGCACTCTCTAGATAGGATACACACGTCTCTCTCCTTGGCTTCCTGAGGCAGAAGGCCAGCCATAATTCCTTCCAGTCTTTGAAGGCTAAACCAGCTGTCTCAGTTAATAACCTCACTAAAGGTTATCCATTACAAAGAAGGAGAGACCTAATTACCAGTCAGCAATGCCATTAGTTATATCCACGGCTCCTTGTAAATTCTGAGTGACATTTATGGAAATGACGCATGCGAGGGGAAAATGTTACCAAAGCAGACACACATTTAGCTTAAATATTCAATAGCCTCCTGCCATCTAGGAATCCATTTCATAGGTGATCTATCTTTAGAGAAATCTTCTTTCTGGGGTTCTCTATAGTCCTGACACTTTATTTGTTCAAGCTATAAAATTTTTATTGGGATTCCATGGCCATTTCAGTAAATCAAATTTGCCTTCTCTCTCCCTAAACCGTAAAACTGTGTGGAACGGCTCCCACGATAAGTGATTTAACAACATTCCTATTTAATTTGGTAGAACCAAGCATCACTGATTTTTTTTAACCCTTTGACTGAAACTCTAGAATCTTCTTCCTAAGTGAGACAAGCTGCTTTCCTCGAAATCTCGGCTTTCATTATCAGCTAATTTTGTTTGTTCTTTTGAAAATCGCTAAAAGAGAACACATATTATTTTTCTCTCCAGACACTTAATATTCTGGTTACACATTCTTTGAAGTGTGACCTGGTTCAATTTCTCATGCTCATAAACACTAACAGCAAATATGTAAATAAAATCCATGATAGACAATTTAAAAAATAATAATAATAGCCTGCATTACAGGAAGTTAGCTGGCTTACAGGCCATTGAAAAGAGATCCCACCTCTCATGCTGTATCAAATGGTGGCGCTATCAAGGACTTCTTAAGGCCCATTAAGAGAAAGCTACTAGTTCCTGAAAAAAAAGAATGGAATCTGAGTTCTACCTCTGGCCCTGGGTACAGACATGACATTTTGATTTCCCCTCAAAGAGAGGAATGTTACTATTTCTCCCTGAAGAATTCATCTGACTGGGCCTGTCAGTCATCTGGCTAGGAGACTGCCCAAAGGAAATCTGATTCACTGACAGATGCACTAAAGAGATGGGAGGGGTCAATTATGTAGACATTATCATATCATCTGCAAATAGTGAAAGTTTGACATCTTCCTTTTCAATTTCTATCCCCTTGACCTCCTTTTGATGTCTTATTGCTCTAGCTAGAACTTTGAGTACAATATTGAATAGACATGGGGAGAGTGGACAGCCTTGTCTTGTTCCTGATTTTAGTTGAATCACTTTGAGTTTCTCTCCATTTACTTTGAGGTTGGCTGTCGGCTTGCTGTAAATTGCCTTTATTATGTTTGGGTATGTTCCTTGTGTTCCTGATCGCTCCAAGAGCGGCACAGAGTTGGCTGGGAAGACTGCTCAATAGGAAAAGCACTACCCATGATGACCTGAGCTCGGATCCTCAGCACCCATGGTGTGTGCAGCATGCATCTGTAATCCCAATGCTGGCAGGGACAGGAGGTTCCCTGGAACTTGCTAGCCTGATAGTGTAGCCATATTGGCCAGCTCCAAGTTCAGTGAGAGACCCTGTCTCAAAACACAAGGTGGATAATAATCAGTGGAAACATCTGCAGTAGAATATTATTTTAAGGTGTGTTACTTTTGCTTATGTTGCATTTGTTTAACTCTGTGAACCTGTGTTACTTTGCTTGTCTAAAACACCTGATGGTCTAATAAAGAACTGAATGGCCAATAGCAAGGCAGGAGAAAGGATAGGTAGGACTAGCAGGCAGAGAAAATATACAGAGGGAGAAATTTGGGTGGAGAGAGCTAGAAGCCAGAGAAGGAGGGCATCAGGGGCCAGCCACCCAGCTACACAACCAGCCAGCCATGGAGTGAGAGTAAGATTTACAGAAGTTAGAGAATGGGAAAAGCCCAGAGTCAAAGGGGATAATTTAAGTTAAGGAAAGCTGGCTAGAAACTAAGCCGAGCTAGGGCTGGGCATTCATAATTAAGAATAAGCCTCCATGTGTGATTTATTTGGGAGCTGGGTGGCAGGCCCCGCAAAAGAGCCAAAAAAAAAAAAAAAAAAAAAACCCTAACAACAAATATCTGATATCAATCTCTGGCTTCCACATGCATGTGCACACACATACAAAGTATGGCACAGAGGCAATGGAGAAGTAAACACATCTAGAGGTGGTTATAACCTGGTTTATATGAGTACATAGCACATAGCTGATATATATATATATATATATATATATATATATATATATATATGGAGAAGGCAATCTGCATGCTGCAGAAGCGAAGAGAGTTAAAGATAAATGAGACCTGAAAAACCAGCCACCAGGGTCTCACTGTCTGCCACTTCAAAGACTCACTTGAGACTCTAAAGAAAAGTGCATACTCCTAAGCCCACCACATCGGTGCCCATTGAAAAGGAGCAGGATGCAGTGGCAGTATCAGGAACATAGAACTTTCCAGAGAACTTACTTTTTGACAGAACGCATGCCACGTGTTTATAAACATTGCCCTGCTTCGTACTAAAAAGAACCTTATTGGGTCAGCACTAATAGGAAAGAAGATGACGTCCCTGAGTTCGAGGCCAGCCTGGTCTACAGAGTGAGTCCCAGGACAGCCAGGGCTACACAGAGAAACCTTGTCTTGAAAAACAAACAACAAACAAAACAAAGAAGAGAAAGTCAAGACAAAGAGTGGTGAAGGGCTCTGTCCCAAGATGTTCTGCTGTGAATGGAAGGAGGGTCAAACCAGGCAAGTGGACTTCAGAGTCTAAATTCTTGATCAGTACCTAGACTCCCACCAACCCAATAAGGTCAAACTGGGATAATACTGAAGATAATCTCTTCTAGTGGAGAAACTGAAACCTCAACATCAAATGCTTTGTCTAAGACAGATCCTTATGGTGCGTGTTTAGAAAAAAGTCAACCACTACGTGATACCATCTGTTCTCGAATATTCCTCTACGCATGTTCCTTTAGGGAGGAAAAGAACCAATTGTACTAAGAGCCATTTTGTTAGTTCATGCTGTGCTTCTGTGGCCACAGTGTTGTTCTAGGGCAAAGTCCACTATTTCCTACCCAGCATTTGGTTATAGATCATGACATATGCCAATTAGACCATTTCCTACCCAGCATTTGGTTACAAATCATGATACATGCCAATCAGAATGATGGATTCCTTAATTTGGTAATTTTTCAGAATAAAGGATGGAAAGGAGAGATACCATCCCTAAAGGGAGGTGGTAATGGACAAGGAGGAGATAGGAATGATGTAATGTGTAAGTGTGTGGGTGCATACATGGGTGCCTGTGTATGTGGGGTGGGGGTGCACATCTGTGCAGCTGTGGGAGGCAGAGGCATGAGTATACACTGTTGTATATATATGCATATAGAGGCCAGAAGCTGACTTCTATTTCTTTCCACCTTAGTTTTAGAACAGGTTCTCTCAATGAACCAGAAACTCATCTCTTGGCTAGGACTGATTGGCCAGGAAGCCCACAGAACTCGCCTATCTCTGCCCCACGGCTGGTGTTTGATTAGAGATGAATGCTACCTCCCCCGTCTTTCATTTGGGTATTAGGGGATCCGAACTCGGGTCCTAATACTTGCTCAGCAAGCACTTTCCCCACTGAGCTACCTCCTCAGGTCTGGCTGATATAATCTGAGGGAGGAAAGAAATCATAATTCTGATACGCTTCTGAAGGGTGGCCTTCCTGCTGCCAAGCCAGCCATGTTAAATCGCAGTCTACGGCAGACATGATTAGGTCTTTGCTTTGGTGTAGTGCACACAGGTAGGCATAATACCCAGATGGTCAGGCAGATTCCATGCTGAAACTACACACATGTGATATGCCAGATCAGGGCAGAGGCCTTACTTATCCAAGTTGTCCCTTGTCACTCCTAAACAGTCAGGGCGAGCTTGGAGGACCACAGCCGGGATGGTAAGCATCTGTTCCAGAAAAGAAGACTGTACTGCCATGACGCAGTCACACCCGAGAGGCAGCTTGGAGATGGTAAGTGGCGGGGTCACAGTGTGCCTCTTTCCCATTGGTGCACAATGGCTCCCGTGTCAAACCAACCTTCATCACTTCCACCTGCAGGTCTTCGTTGAGCGAAGGCGTCACTTTCACGGCATTCAGGATCTGATTGAGCAGCTGCTTCTCATCAGAGTCTGTCTCCATGGATACGAACCTCTCTTCTGCCAGGAGCTTCTGTGAAGAGGCACAAGGCGGTGATTGCAGCCTTTTCTGTTATAGCTTGTTATGTACGATGCTCATTTTTCTAACTCAGGAGCATCTAGCTGGAGGTCAGGCAAGAACTCATGCTGTAATACCATTAAAAGGAAAAATGCACAGCACTTGAGAAGAATGGGCTTTGGAAAAGGTATCTTTGTAATACGAGGTAAGTCATTCTGCATTTCAGCCAGTAAAAGGCTGTGTGCTAGCCATCTAGGTTATTCAGGCAGTTGGGAATAAAGAATGAGTGTGCAAAGAGGAACCCACCCCACAAAACAGTCACTCCCAGGCACACGCTCACTGAATGTAAGTTTTGTCACATGAAAGGAAAAGGTCTTGAGGGCACAAGTTCATTTTTCAGATATCTATGCTTTGATTACCTAACGTGAGCCTCATTTATCCAGAAATTATTCCTAAATCCGCAAACCTGACTATATATCCCACTAGGAAAATGAAGGAATTCATTTGCATGAGGACATCAGGGGAGCTTGTGGATTAAGCTTTTCGCGACTTTGGGACAATGTTTATTTTTCCAAAACTCCTTCTATGCTTATGAGCCTGCAATTTTACTCCCTCACACTTCTCGAGAGCCGCCGAGACGAAGCATCCAAAGTGCATAAAGAATGTAGCCCCAGGAATGAGCAAAGGGCTTTCGGCATGGCCTGACCCTGGAGAGTGCTACACAGCCTGAGACACAGTCCCAAGTCAGAAGTGTGCTGGCAGTCACGGTCCTGCTATGTTGTCTCACCCTGAAAACCCCCCTTCTCACCCACAAGGGCGACCATTAGGGTGTTCTCCCCAATTCTGAACTGGTGCAATGGGTGGGTATTTTTTTCCCCGCTGGGACTCAAAGGACTTTCTGTTTATTCTTGGCCCAAACTGTTCTTCTCCATTGTAAGTTAGCGGCAGTAGGAATTCGTTTAAAGCCTTATAGTATCCCTCAGAGCAGTCCAGAGTTGAAGTTCATATATAGAGAAACTGTCCTACAGTGAGAAAGGCTTGGAAGCTCTGCATTTGTGTCTCAAGTTACCAGGCCATAGGGAGCAAGGGACAGACTCATAAAAGGAAGACTCGGCCATTAATCACCAACACGAATGCAGTTAAGCAAGCCCTTGAAAACATGGAACAGCAGCTTTGAATGTGTCAGAATTGGAAAAGAAAAACACAATGGGAAATCTACATGATACTAGAGAAAAGAGAAAAATGCAGCAGGTCAAAACAAAACCTTATTTATTTCTATGGATGGCCCAATTCCAGAAGTCAAAGGCCTTTGAAAAACCGCTAACAATAATGTGTTAACATTTCCTACGCTTTTGTTTGTTAAAATACAGTTATCTACTTCCAATCGGCTGAGGCTAATGGGAGCTGACTTGTGACTCTTTCTTAGGGCTTCACTCTTACAAGGCCGTAGGGACTCTGAGCCTAAAAATCCTGGGAAATGGCCCGTCACGAAAGCAAAAGTACAAATGTCACTGCAGCCGTGAACTTCTCTGTGTGTCTCCAGAGACCAAACGTCTTATAAAATCAATGTGTTTACACAGCCATCGCCGTTCACAGTTGGGATCAGGGCCGCTCTGCCTGGTGTGAAACACAAATGCTCGGAGAAAGACAAGGGCTGGAGCCAGCTCACTTTTTCGATTAGACCAAAGAATTTCTTTTTCTTTTCTTCCCACTTTTGTTCTAGAAACATAATCTATTCATCCATTCACCAACCTAATTGTAGAATAATAATAATAAAAAAAAGCAAACAAGTTCAAATTCAGAAAGACAAATGTGATTTTTTTTTCTTCTTATTCCTGGGCTTGTATTTTAGAGAGATACACAAAATCATATGTGTGTCAGTAAAAGGAAGATGTCTAGAGGGAAGGATGGAAATGGGGGAGGGGGGCTAAGGAAGGGGAAACAGAGGTTAGGGGAGGAGAAACAGAGGGGCTGGGGGGAGGAGAAAGGAGAGGAGGGTGGATACTGTCAAAGTATATGATACACATGTATGAAATATCTTTATAAAGCCTCTTTACCAAGCATGGTGGATATATACCAATCAAAATGCCATGTCACGCTCAGGAAAGTGGATTCAATGAAGATCATCATATTCAGCCAGTCCCAGAAAAACAAGTGCCATGTTTTCTCTCATTTGTGGTTAGCAGGTGTCATTTGATATAAAAAAAAAATCACGTGTGGATACATGACATGAAAAATAGAAGAGAACTGTGTAGGGAAACAAAGGGACTGATGGGCGTGGGGAGGGAAGAAAACGAAAGTCAGGGGATATGTATAATATGTATAATATATAATGTATAATATATTCAATGTATAATGTATAATTGTATGAAAATTTAATAAGAGAAATGATGAAAAAATCATGTAAAAATCTTTTTAGTTTACTATCAATCCCGATTACACTGAACCACAGATGTGGGATGCAGATGAGATCGGAATTGATATGAACTTCTCGGGGCTTAGCTGGGTCCCTGTGAATCAATGCTTGACTACAGAGGCTCAACTAAGTAATGTTGCATCCAGAGATATTCCGGAGGCTATAAGAAGATCTTACCCTTTCTACAGCTATCATCTTGATTCAATTACATTTTTAGACAGACGGTATTTAAAATGCTAATGATTGGCTCTTTCAGTGCCAAAGAGGTCTGTCAGCTTCTGTCACGTGACTGCACTCAGTAAAAGTCATACCTGCATCCCTGCCAAAGCATGTTGGGCCAGCTTCACATTCTTTGACTCCAGGGCCAACTGGAGAGGCAGCAAGCATTTCTCCCTGGCAGACACAGAAGTAAGGACAACATGTGAGCTCAGCAAAATTGGCAGTCATGCACTGTAGGCCTTATGATGCACCTCCACCACCACACCAATCCCCTCCACCACTGTTCCAATCTCCACTACCACAGTCCCGCCTCCCCCCCACACCACCACACAAAAATTTAGAACCCATCATGAAATGACACATGACTTAAAAAGCAACAAAGTTGTGCAGATGACAGTCCATCAGGAGCTTGCCTTCTTAATGTGGCTACAGGAAGAACACATAAAATTACTTCCTCTAATGGGTAGACAGTACGCTAATTACAACACATGCATTCTCCTTCCCCAGATTAGCGAGTTGCTCATACCCAGTACACCAGGTATGAACAACTCCAGGGAGCAGCATTTCCATCAACTTCTATGTCCCGCTCAGAGCCTTTTCCTACCTAGGAAGTCATCCCATCACCACTACCATTGTTTATCCATATAAATTAAAATTCTACTAATTTGCCAATTCCTCCCCAACTCAAAGAACACAGCAGTCATTCATAATTTTAAACTTTCTCTCTATAGTCTCTATCAAGTCCAGAATACACAGTTCCCATGACATAACTATAACTACACAGCTTTGGTCAATGAAAGACGAAAGCAAACAATATAAAAGATAGCTACTTGGACTGCCTAATGCTTAAAAACGAAAACAAACAAACCAAACAGAGAATTGAAGTGTGTTAGGAATTAGCTATAAGAGCCACAAAGACAAAAATATTTTGTATTAGAGTCACTCACTTTAAATAATTAAACAATAGGTCGAGAATTTTAATCAACCCATTATTTGCAATTTTAATCAACCCAATCATCCCCCCATGGGTTCCATGTACAAAAGAACAAATGTCACTTCATTTTTCCTGTCTGCCCCCAATACACCAAAGCAACTTTTTTTTTTTTTTAAATCTGTTTATATTTTCAGCAGAAGCCAGAGAGATAAGTGAGCGAGCCACAGGCTAGACTCTAGGGTTTCATTTGTGGGGGAATAAGGGTCCCTGCTACAGAACACAGTGAAACAGAAAGTTAATTATCGTCTTGATTCCTTCCTGTCCTCCGGACAGCTCTACAGCCTTCCTGTGGAATCTTCCACCATCAGCTCCCCACGGACGAAGTGAGAGTCTTTGACACTGCCCAATGGCAGCTGTGGAGACAGTTGACAACAGGCCAGCAGGGAACAACCCTTGGTGCCTGATCCTCTTCTCCTCTCCCCTTGCCAACCCGACGATCCCACATCCATTTTTATATGACGATGGACGGACAGTGCTGCCGATTTACATGAGGTGCATCCTTCGGCAGATAGATGAATTGCCCAAGTCTGTGACTTCCAGATGGGTGGCTGTAACTTTGTCGCTGTTATCAGTATTATCTGTCTTCCTCAGTGACAAGGTAAAGCACTGAGGAAGAGACGTGGCTTCCAATTTTGTTTCTTCAGTCATAACCAGTTCCTGAGCTTGGAAAATTAATTAGAAAGGTGAAAACAGAGAGGGGCAGGAGGAAGAGGAGTCATGGACTGATGGGGTCACAGCAGAAGCAGCCCTGGACTTAACCTGTAAACCCCGAAACAATCAAATCTCCATCAGGACGAATTTACTAGGAAAGAACGTTCATCTCCAGTTGGGAGTCAGATCTAACAGGGAGGGCATAGCACTGAGCAGCAGCCCAGGAAGTTCAAAGCTCTCACAGCTGAGTAGCTGGAGCAGGAGCCATCTATGTGGTAGGTGCAGGCTGACATTGCACATGCAATGTGCATTCTAGATCAAGGCTAATGTGAGTGACACATTCAGCAATCATAGTCATCCTTTTGTAAATGCCCCCCCTGAGAAGCAATATTGTGTTCATACGCAACGGAAAACTCACCACCACCCATCTGCTCCCATCCTTCCATTTGCCCGTAATCCCTATAATCCTTACTCTACCCCATGACTGATCTGAGCTAGGTTTCAGGCAAATTCCAGGGCTGCCAGGCTGTATCACGACTCTGAAGCACTTTCCTAGCCTGCTCTTCTGCTGTCATGAAGTCAAGCCAGTAGGGTGGGGTTGTTTCGATCAGGTTTGTGCTGAGTCGCAAGGTATCAGTCAGTGGGCTATGGATTCATCCAGACCTGAACCAAATCGTAATTTTGTTAGGTCTTAGTTTCCCACCCATTAAAAAAAGTCTTAAAGTTAATCCTGAGCTGGACACAATGGTTTATACCGGTAATCCCAGAACGTGGGAGGCTGAAGAAAGAGTATTGCGGCAGGGTTGAGGCCAGTCAGGTCAGATTTTGGAGTAGTGAGACTCTCATGCAAAATGAAATAGACTAAAAAACAATCCTGAAGTGTTGAAGTGAGGAGTGCGTGGTCTGCGGAGCCGGGAGTGGCAGGATTTTCCAATACAAAGACAGATAACGTGAGCTATGCATTCCACACGGTCTCTGTTAAAACTGCCTGACTCTGCCAGATACAGAGGCAGCCACAGACAATAAATAAGCCACTGAACATGGCCACACTCCAACAAACCTGCATTTACAAAGCCAGGCAAGGGGCCAGATCAGCTCTACATTCTAGTCTGCCCAGCCATGGCACAGATCATACCTTAGAACATTGGCTAAGCAGATTAAGCCTTCTCATGTATCCAGAAGGTTTTCACAGGGCGTGGGGCTAACTGCCTCGGAAGGACATCGCCAAAACCAAAGACAGCACCAAAATCTCTCTTAGAAAATAACTGAAGAAACAGCACTGTAGCAAAGACTTTACTGAGCACTAGACCAAGGCATTCTGTCCATGCATTGAGCCAACATTTGGTATCTACAGTGTGCCAGGCACCATGTACAGATCTGGGTACGAGCCAACCAGGAACAGAACAGAGCAGGTGCCTTTGCTCATTAGTATTCGGAGTGAACTAGAAGAAGGGAATTGTTCCTAACATGGACTGTTTCCATATATAGTTTTCTCTATAACTACAACTTTAAATAAGCCTTCCTATCCTCAGGTCACACTAGAGAAAGCTTGAGATCAAGAAGTCTTGCAGCCTGCCCAAATCCACTCAATTCAAATACATTGGAGACAACTCACATCTAAATATATCTGGCAGCCTAAACCAAATTCCTCCTAGCCTCCATTGCTATTAAAATTGCAGAGCAAAGCTAGAACAGTTGTTCCTTAACCATTTTTATCTCATAGATATGAAAATAAATCCAGCATAAAAGGGAATGGCAGAGGGGAGCTGTATGCTCAAACCGCATTACACACACAAATAAAAATGTCCTTGTGAAACCCAGAACCATGCACAATGAAAATAGACCAATTAAAAACATTATTTAGGGGCTGGGGAGGTAGATGGCTTAGTGGATAAAGCGCGTGCCACATAAAAGCTGGGCACTGTGGCAGCCACCCATAACCTGAGCACTTGGGACACAGATTTCCTACTACACACCTGACCAGCTAAGGTAACTGCTTCATTCTACTGCTCTGCTAAGCACTCTGTCCAGCAGGAAGTTAGGGGACGAAAAGGGCTATTTCTGTGTACAGATTACAGTCCATCATTGAGGGAAGCCAGGGCAGGAGCTCACGGAAGAACTTGAAGCAGAAACCACGGAGGAATGCTAATGCTCCTGTGCTCACCCCTCCCCTCTCCTCCCTCCAAAGAGTTATTTATTCTTGTGTGTGTGTGTGTGTGTGTGTGTGTGTGTGTGTTTACCATGTGTGTGCAGGTGCTTGCAGAGGCCAGAAGAGGGTGTCGGATCCCATGGAACTGGAGTTAGAGGTGACTGTGTGTTGCCTGATGGGAATGGATTCTTAGACCCTCTACAAAGGCATCAAATGCCCTTAAATGCTGAGCCAGCTCTCCAGCCCCTTAGCCAGCATATATACATATACCAACATACACACATACATACATACATACATACATACATATACATGGACATTGCAACTTGCTAATAACAACCTGTGAACATGAGCAGAAATGAGAATTTCTAGTAAAACCACATGGTTTTCAGAGTTGGAGGTGATTCTTCTTTGATGCCCTGGTGGAAATACCAACAAGTCACTTTATATTTGTATGGTATGTCTACACTCCCCAGTACATATGTATAAAGTCCCAGGACCTTTGGCCCAGGGGAGGTTCTTCTCACAATGGGCTAAGGCCTTATAGTAGCTAATTTTATGTCACCATGACACAACCAGCTCTCATTTAGGAAAAGGGACTTTCAATTGAGAAAATGCCTCACCAGCTTGGCCCTTGGGTATACCTATGATGCATTTGTTTTTGATTGATGGTTGGTGTGGGAGGGTCCAGCTTGGCCCTTGGGTATACCTATGATGCATTTCTTTTTGATTGATGGTTGGTGTGGGAGGGTCCAGCTTGGCCCTTGGGTATACTTATGATGCATTTTTTTTTTTTGGATTGATGATGGGTGTGGGAGGGCCCAGCTCACTGTGGGCATTGCCACCCCAGGGATGGTGTCCTTGGAACCATAAGAGAGCCACAAGGAGAAATCTAGTAAGCTGCATTCTTCCATGGCCTCCGTCGCAGTTCCTGCCTCCAGGTTCCGGCCTTGAGTTCCTACCCTGACTTCTTTTGATGGTGGATTGTGCTGTGAAAGTGGAAGTGAAATATAAACTCCTTCCTCTTCAGGTTGCTTATGTTCTGGGCATTTGACCACAGCAGTAGAATCCCTAAGATGGGCCTCCTCCATCAACAAACAATCAGGACAATCCCCACAGACATGTCCACGGGTCAATCTGATCTGGGCATTCCCTGACTGATCCTTCTTGAGGTGATGCTAGGTTGTGTCCATTGACAGTCAGAGCTCATTTGGACACTGCGATTGGCAAGCTCTGGATTTAGTGAGTCTCTGCCTCAGAAAGTATAAAGTGGAGAGCAACCGAGGAAGACACTGGACATCACTTTGGGGCCTTCACATGCACATGGACACAAGCACCCACACACATGTGCCTACATGTACGTAAACACACATATACACA